AAAAAAAAAAAAAAAAAAAAGAAAGAAAGAAAGAAAAAAAAAGAAAGAGAGACAGAGAGTGAAGAAAGCAAGAAAGCAAGCAAGAAAACAAGAAAGCAAAAGAAAGAAAGAGAGAGAAGAAAGAGAAAGAAAAAGAAAGAAAGAGAAAGGGAAAGAAAGAAGAAAGAAAGAAAAAGAAATAAAGAAAGAAAAAAAAAGAAAGAAAGAAAGAAAAGAAAGGAAAAAGAAAACGCACAAGAAAGCAAGCTTTGAGACAGGTAGGTTGAGAGCAATTGATTTTAAGTATCCTACCACTAAAATAACCTAGTTTATTTTCTTAATCTAAAAAAAAATTTTTTTTCAATTTATCAACTGTAGATATGCAGAACTAACTGTTCTAATTATTACCATTAATGTGTAATAATAATAGCTTTTAAAAATAAGACTATAAGTATAGCAACAATAATAGATCAGGATTTTCTCAGTAGTCGTCACAACAAAACTGTGAGTGGTTTAAGTAAATCCCCACGAAGTTCTTTTGGATATATTGAGTTGTACTGGCCAGTTCAAGATAGTCATGATTAATCTTAGGCTACAAGTCCTCTATGACTTTCATTTCCACCTTCACAACCTGAGGAACCAGTTGCCTTCAAAGGATTTGTCCATGGTACTGAAATGCTGACCCAAAAAAAATTGACTTGGCACTAGACTGCGAAAGAACTGATGAGATAAATATTTGCAAAGAAATAAGTATCTTTCAGTATTTTGTATAGATTTTACTTTTTAAAATAAATGTTACAATTTACAATATCTTTATTTAGAATTGTACAAATACTTTATTGCCCAAGGGCTTCTAGGATAAATTAGCCAGAATTAAAATTCTGACTTGCCATTTCACTCTTGTAAAGTAATAGCCTAGAGCAAAAAATAATTACATGTTCATTATCTTTTTTATTGTTTGCTTTATCTCTTATTACAATAGCTTCTCTCTGTTTCCTACCTACAGTCCGTATCAAAGTTTTAAGGCCTGGTTTCATCTTTATTAGATATTTTGGAAAGCTGAAAAATAGGTCTGCATAAGTAATTTTGTTCATCTAATGTCTATCCCCATAATGTTTCTGCACAATCATAAAATAACACTAAATGCTGAAAGATTTTTGGAAATCACTCAGGGCTGGTAAGGGTGTTAAAAAACTATCTTAATGCAATCACTGTTGAGGATATTTTATTTTATTTTACTTTATTTTAAAGATGGGGTTTCACCATGATGGCCAGGCTGGTCTTGAACTCCTGACCTCAGGTGATCCACCCACCTCGGCCTCCCAAACTGCTAGGATTACAGGTGTGAGCCACAGCACCCGGCCGAGGATATTTTAAACTAATTCATTAAAACAGTCTTAGGCCGGGAATGGTGGCTCACGCCTGTAATCCCAACACTTTGGGAGGCCAAGGTGGGTGGATCACCTGAGGTCAGGAGTTCGAGACCAGCCTGACCAACATGGGAAAACCCCATCTCTATTAAAAATATAAAAATTGGCTGGGCATGGTAGTGCATGCCTGTAATCTCAGCTACTCGGGAGGCTGAGGCAGGAGAATCACTTGAAGCTGGGAGGCAGAGGTTGCAGTGAGCAGAGATGGCACCATTGCACTCCAGCCTGGGCAACAAAAGCAAAAAACTCCATCTCAAAAAAAAAAAAAAAAAACCTTCCAAAAAAAAAAAAAACAGTCTTTCATTTAGAACAAGTTTTAACACTTAGTGAAAAATCCACAGATTAAATTCACTAGGTATTTCTAAAACAGGCTTCCTGGCTTCTGATATTATTTTTTTAAGAAAATCAGACTATTCAGAGTGAAGACACAACATTTAGAAAGTAAGAAAAGATTTGCAAACCATTCACCTGACAAGGAACTAATATCCAGAATACACAAACAATTAAACACCAAAAACCAGATAATCTGATTTAAAAGAGGGCGAAGTATCTGAAGAGACATTTCTCAAAAGAAGACATACAAATGTCTAACAAACATATGAAAAAAATCAAAACATTGCTAATCATTAGGGAAATGCAAATCATAACCACAATGAGATATCATCTCATCCCAGTTACAATAGCTATTGTCAAAATGACAAAAAATAAGTGCTAGTGAGGACACAGAGAAAAAGGAACCCTTATACACTGTTGATGGAAATGTAAAATAGTACAGCCATTATGAACAACAGTAAGGAAGTCTCAAAACAAAACTAAAATTGGAACTACCATATGACCCCAAAATTCCATGACTGGGTGTTATCCAAAGGAAAGGAAATCAGTATATCAAAGGGATACCTGCATCCTTATGTTTATTGCAGTACTGTTCACAAGATAGGCAATCAACCTAAACATCCATCAATAGATGATTAATGGATAAAGAAAATGTGGTGTATATGCACAATGGAATACTATTGAGCCATAAAAAGAATACAATGTTATCATTGAAGGCAGCACAGACTAAGCTGGAGGTCATTACGTTAAGTGAAGTAAGTCAGGCACAGAAAGGTAAATATTCTCACTCATATGAGGGAGCTAAAAAAAAATTAAACTCATGGAAGTAGAGAGTAGAATGTTGGGTATTAGAACCTAAAGAGGACCAGGCCTGGCAGCTCACACTTGTAATCCCAGCACTTTGGGAGGCCAAGGCAGGCAGATCACTCAAGGTCAGAAGTTCGAGACCAGCTTGGCCAACAGGGTGAAACACCGTCTCTTCTAAAAGTACAAAAATTTGCTGGGTGTGGTGGTGCGTGCCTGTAATCCTAGCTACTGGGGAGGCTGACGCATGAGAATCACTTGAATCTGGGAGGCAGAGGTTGCAGTAAGCCAAGAGGGTGCCACTGCACTCCAGGCTGGACAACAGAGCGAGATTCTGTCTCAAAAAAGAAGAAGAAGAAGGAGCTAAAGAGAAGTGGGGAGGCACAGCTAGGGAGAGGTTGGTTAGTGACTACAAACTACAGATGCACGTAAGCGCAGGTTCTGGGGCTCTGCAGCATTGTACAGTGAATCTGGCGACCTACAAGTTATTTATTTTTTTATAAAGCTGGAAAAGAAGGTTTTGAATGTTCACAATACAAAAAAGTAATAAATGTTTGAGGCATGCAAGTATCAAAATGTCATACTGTACCCCATAAATATGTACAATCATTATGTGTCAACTAAAAAAAAGAAAAAATGTTTAAACACTAATGTTAAACTATTAAACAAGATAAGAAAAATATATACTCACAGGGTAGGTGTGCTAGGTCTGGGAGCACAGTGGACTCACTGCTAATCTTGTTAACAATCTAGCACACCTTTTGTAATCTAGGAAAAACATTTAAAGGTAAATTATATATAGATTACTAGAAATGTGGGGGAAATCATGTTGTTATTGTCACTAATTCATATAATAATGGCTACAGTTTAATAAATGCCTACCATATCAGGTGAGAAATGGATTTTCTCATCAATTATTTTAATAACACAATCAGGAAGGTACTATTCCTATCTTCACTTCAGAGATGGGACAAGAGCCTGAGAATGTTAATTAATTGCCCCACAACTAATCAAAAGCTTTATCCCGAAGCCTGTGCTCTCTCCACCATGCTGGGCTACCATTAGTCATTCTGCCTGGAATCCAATGTGATTCACTTCCTTTAGCCATTAAATACAAGTTGATTTTTTATTTTATTTTTGAATTGTAATCTATTTATGTATATATTTATTTTGAAGCTGGATTGTGAGACTTGCTAATTTTTGTATTTTTGGTGGATAGAGGGTTTCACCACGTTGCTGAGGCTGGTCTCAAACACCTGAGTGCAAGCAATCCACCTGCCTCGGCCTCTCAAAGTGCTGGGATAACAGCCATGAGCCACCACACTGGCCTAAACACAAGCTGTTTTTGAAAAAATTATAACAGCCGGGCGCGGTGGCTCATGCCTGTAATCCCAGCACTTTGGGAGGCCGAGGCAGGTGGGTCACGAGTTCAAGAGATCGAGACCATCCTGGTCAACATGGTGAAACCCCGTCTTTACTAAAAATATAAAAAATTAGCTGGGCACGGTGGTGCGTGCCTGTAGTCCCAGCTACTCAGGAGGTTGAGGCAGGAGAATTGCCTGAACCCAGGAGGCGGAGGTTGCGGTGAGTCGAGATCGCACCATTGCACTCCAGCCTGGGTAACAAGAGCCAAACTCAGTCTCAAAAAAAAAAAAAAAAGAAGAAAAAATTATAACAAATCCAACTTAACATGCTGAGTAAAATTCAATATTCCTCAAGATGAGCAATCTAGTTAAAAAGAAACGAAATGCTTAGAATTCATGTTCTTTAAAAGCAAAGTTGAGGCTTAGAAAGGAATTTAAAAACAGCCAACTTGAGTTACCACACAAAATCATAACTTGGGCACTTTAAATGATAACACTTAAATATTATGTTTAGAATTATTATTAACTTCAGTAACTTAAGTATCCAAAAGAAATATAGCAACATTTACATGCTATCATTACTCAGAAAAATCTAGCACCATTATATAAATGATGTGATATAAAAAATATTTACTTTAAAATAACTTATGAGAAAATTTTTACTTAGAGTTCACAGTCATCTCATTTTTTTCATTTATATGAGAGAGCACCTTATTTATGCCAAGGAATGTGAATCATGTTAAGATGTTTAAATCCTAACAAACACTTTGGTGTTTAAGGAAATCTGGCTATTATCAGATTTGAATAGATTCCCAATTAGAATGTGGTTTCATTCCTTACAGCGGCAACAGTTCACACAAACCTTAGCTACTGTCAGTGTTATAAACAGAATCTCATACACTGTTTAGTCTACTACTTCCTACCCACAGACATCTGAAGTTTAAAATTATACATATTTATTGAGGGATAATTAAAAACAAACAAAAAAAAAGCGATGCCCAAGTTACTTACAAGCTGGCGTTGAGCACTCCCTTGTGTTGTAATAGAGTCGGTGGAAATGTTTGCTGCATTCTGGTGAAAATGTGACTGAGCCTAGAGCACAGGAAAAGAATGCTTATTATAAACATAGGCATGTTTTCCAAACAAATTTCCTAGCACTTCATAGGTGGATGTGATATAAGGGCAGCTTCCATCCGTCCATGCCCTTAAAAGAACGTGCCGAAGAGCTCTTCCCTTCACCCAGGCTCTGTGGGAGGCACAGCTTTGGTCTATGAAAAAAATTCTAAATTCATTCCACATTCTCAACATCTCACATAATGGAATCTTCAGATTTAGGAGAACCATCTAGAAAAATCAGAAGGAAAAAGCTCTGGACAGAAAAAGAAAGTGTGTAGAGAGCAAATCAAGTGGACAAGAAGTAAAAAGAATAAATATCTTTGGTTTCTACTTTGCTTTTATTTAATAGCAATTAATGTTTACATGGCAAGACATTTATTCCATTTTCTATTTATCATAATTTGCATCTTATTAGTGTCTAGGATAATTGTAAAATGGGCAGGGCCTTGAGAAGTCCCTTGTCTCTCCCTTTAAATCCAAGGTAGGGCCCATCAAAACTTTCATCTTCAATGGGGTGCAGTGGCTCACATCTGTAATCCCAGGACTTTGAGAGGCCAAGAGAGGAGAATCACTTGAGCCCAGGAGTTCAAGAACAGCCTAGGCACCATAGCGGGACCCTGTCTCTACAAAAAATAAAAATAAAAAATTAGCCAGGCATGGCGGCACATGCCTGTAGTCCCAGTTCAGTTACTCTGGAGGCTGAGGCAAGAGGATCCCTTGAGCCCAGGAGTTGGAGGCTACAGTGAGCTACGATCACACCACTGCACTCCAGCCTGGGTGATAGAGTGAGGCCCTACCTCTAAAAACAACAATAAAATATTCATCCCTCCCTCCCTCTGTAGTCTGCTTCTTGTGGGGTCCACAGTCGTGTCACTCACAGCTACCTCAGGAGGCTCGAGACCCTGACACATCCCTGCGCCCTGCCGGTGCATTTCCACTTGATCCTCAGGACCATCCTTCCCGTTAACAAACAGACACGGCCCTAGGACTTGACTAAGTGGGAAAACCACATCTTTCCCATATTATAGGCTTGAGGTGCAAAAAAAAAAAAAAAAGCAGCTGGGATGACGGGAACACAGAGGCAATGGCAATAGTAAATTTGGGGGTGTGCTGTTCAAAATACTTCAGTGATTTGCTAGAACTTAGGACACAGGACAACGTGCAAATGATTCACAAAGTTGATATGAAGAACAAAACGGGACAGCATTTCATCTGTGCTCAAGATGTGGCAGGTGTGCCCAGTGCAGTGGCTCACAACTGTAACCCCAGTGCTTTGGGAGGCTGAGGCAGGAGGATCGCTTGAGCCAGGAGTTCAAGACCAACCTGGGCAACATAGTGAGACCCCATCTCTACGAAAAATAGAACATTAGCTGCGTGTGAAGCTGCGTGCTGTCCCAGCCACTTGGGAGGCTTGGGTGGGAGGATCCCTTGAGTTTATCTGTTTGAGGCTGTAGTGAGCCGTGATCTCACACTGCACTCCAGCCTGAGTAATGGAGCCAGAGCTTGTCTCAGAAAAAATTCTGGCTGGGCGCAGTGGCTCACGCTTTTAATCCCAGCACTTTGGGAGGCCAAAGCTGATGGATCACTTGAGGCCGGGAGTTCAAGACCAGCCTGGCAACATGGTGAAACCCCGTCTCTATTAAAAACACGAAAGAAATTAGGCATGATGGCACATGCCTATAATCCCAGCTACTTGGGAGGCTGAGGCAGGAGAATCACTTGAACCCAGGAGGCAGAGGTCGTGGTGAGCCAAGATCATGTCACTGCACTCCAGCCTTGGAAACAAGACTGAAAATCCGTCTAAAAAAATAACAATAAAAAAATAAATAATTTTTCAAAACATGTAGCATATGAAAGTCTGTCCCTCCCTGTTCAAAAAATTTCTATTGCCCCCTCCCTCCTTACCCCCTGCCTGGCTGGCAGAGTCTGAATTCTTCAGCATGCCATTTAAGATTATCCACAACATGACGCCAACCTACCTTTCCAGCCGTATATTCGCCCAGGGCCACAGATGACCCCACCTAAGCCCACCCACAGTCTATGCACGCCTGTCCTTACCTAAATCACACCCTGCGCCTTCATGGTACTCAATGCGCTCCTCTGGACAGAAGGCCTCTCACCATGGGAAAGCCTTATTCATCCATTAAAGGCCACCTTACATACTGTGTCTGCTACAAGTCTTTCTTGGTAGTTCTTAGCCAAGAATTAATTCACTTCCTGTGTATCCTTAAAACGTGGTTCATACTTCTATTACTTATTAAGGGCTGGTGAACATTACAGTTAACACAACTTAGTAGCATCCATCCATCCATCTCCCCAGCTGGACCGTGAGTCCCTTACAGACATTTATCTTCATAGCCCTAGAGCCTGACATAGTCATCTGAAACAGTCTTTTTATTTAGTGAATGGAATCGCTGATAAATTTTGTACTTACCTGTGAAATGCTTTATGAATTTGTCTTTTAAGTTAGAATCTCTTGGGAATATTTCTGAAAAGAAAAAAAAAAAAAACACCTTCAGAATTTCTTGAATGTATTTCTGCCATTTAAAATATCCTTAATATGCTAAATACTTAATAAGGCACTAAACACATGAATTCGTGGCAATTTAGCTGATCCCAAACTGGGTGTCTCCAGCCCTGACCACTGGAGGCTCCAAAACTCCAGTGCAGCTCACAGCTTGCCCTGCGGCACGAAGGGTACCTTCCAGACCTCTCAAAAGTGCACAGCCACAATGGAACATCTCCTTTCCCTCTGCTCAGACCTGTTTCTCCCCGTATTCCTCAGTCCACTGAAGACTGACTGAAGTGGCATCACTCTTGATCAGGCCCCAGCTCCAGGAGTTATGCTTGACTTCCCTTTTCCCTCACCACAACACCCAACCTACGAGTTAGTTTTATGTATTCCACCGCCAACAAATTATCCCAGACCCACTCACTTCTTTCTCCTTCCCTCAACACGAGTCTGGTCCAAGCCATCATCCTTTTGTGACCGTGCCCTGACAGTGGCCTCCTATCCCCTCCTCTCCTCCCCATAATCATCTTTCTCCCCAGTAACCAGAACAAACTGAAATGCACTTAGGTCATGATCTCTCCCACTTGGAAGGATTTGCGCTTAATACACAAAAAAACGTAAAAATAAAATTGTATCTCAGACTTCACCTTGTACTCACTAAAACTACATCATCCAGAAAATGCAATTTATACAGACAATTGGGAATATGTGCAACTCCTTCAAAGCAAGAGAAAACCTAACCTTCAATAAAATAGTTGAGCCTCAAGGTCCGATGGTAGGCACACCTTTAAATTTATAGCATTTTAAGATTATAATGAGGAAGTAAACGTTTGTCATCTCTTCATGGGAGTGTCTCAGCCACCACGGTGACAAGTATGACTTTGCTGGGACAAGGCAGTGGTGACTGAGGCTTGGAAAATGCAGATGCAGGAATTCTAACTGTTCCTTACATCCCAGGAGCTCCTGAGGGACATCTGAGCCCTTCCTGTGCAGGGAGCTCCCCAGTTCCGGGCAGCCTCATGTGAGTTCAGGACCTGGGGCGTGATTGTGTGGGTGCAGCAGGAATGCAGAGATCGGAGTGCCCCTCCCATTTGACAATGAACACCTGCACTTGACAAACAATTAAAACTAATCCAGAAAAACAAAGCAGCAGTAAAATGGAAGTACTTCATCATATAAACCTGTCCTCTTCTCTTCAATAATACTCCAGCCTGAACATAGGTCTTTTCTCCTATACTTGTCAGAAATCAAACACAGCAAATTGGCTTTGGTAGTGTCAATATTTGGGCCAGGAGCTACACTGGTGCTTTCTGAAAAATGAATGAGCTGAGCGCCGCAGAAGCACCTACTGTGGCTAAGGTGTGCTCAAAGACTTTATAAATATTCTATTTCCGAAAGCCTTTTAGAGTATAATTTTAATCTCTAGACCCTGTGACAGTGACGACACTCAGGTGTGTAGAAAATTACATATTTTAATTAAATTGCCCTCCTCATCTCCAACCCACTAACACACTTTGTAACTTCTATCACAGCAGATGTCATGTTCTGGTTAGCATGATGGTGCACCATGTGTGTGTCTGCCTCCACTGAAATTATGGCTTCCTGAGGAAAGGTCTTGTCCCCCTGTACAACCTGGCTTTGCTGGCAGGGGCACCTGGCACATGTTCAAGGAATGGGAAGCCGAGAGGGTTGCTACCGCTCAGAGGGAAACATCAGCACCTTCCGGCACTCAGTACAGCCCACCAAGAAAACCACACTTTTAATTCACTTGAATTTTAACTTCAAAGCACAAACATCATACAGGAACACAGGAACACAGGGCAGATTGATTTAACTGAAACAGAGAAGTGGTGTTTAAGTTGACACCTGAAGCCAGAGATAAACAGGTAAGAAGAGATGGGAATGGGGAGGACTGCAACGTGTTCAAGTATTGGAGGAAATGTCCAGAGTAGCTGAAGAAGAGAGGGGTGAGATGAGGCTGCAGGCGGGCTTTAGAGTCAAGCCATACACAAACTTTGTGCGTAATCCTGTGGGTGATAAGGAATCAAAGGGCTTTAGGCAAAGGACCGGCATGGTTAAGCTTCATTTTCAAAAGAGCATTAGCGGGCGGGAGGGAATGGAGAAAAATGGCCGAAGGATACAAAGCTGCAGACGGGTAGGATGAGCAAGTTCAGAGGTCTGATGCATGGCAGAGGACTGCAGGGAATAATGACATGTTGTATGCAGGATAATGGCTAAGAGAGCAGAGTTCAGGGGTTCTCACCACCAAAAAAAAAAAGGGTAACTGTGAGAAGATGGATATGATTTGCTGGACCACAGTAGCCACTGCACTCTCTCTATATATATATCAAAACATCATGCTGCACACTCTAAAGATAGACATTAAAAATAAATAAAATTATATCCCATTCAAAGTATTTTTAATAAATAAACTCTGCTTTTTTGAGACAGAATCTTGCTCTGTTGCCCAGGCTGGAGTGCAATGGTGCAATGATGGCTCACTGCAGCCTCTACCTCCTGGGCTCAAGTGATCCTCCCATCTCAGCCTCCCAAAGTGTTGGGATTACAGGCATGAGCCACTGAGCCTAGCATAAACTATTTTGAATAATAAAAAACAATTATGCCTAAATATTGTGAAAGGAAAATAAATCTCAGGACCCCAAAATCACTAAACCAAGGGAAAAGTCAAGCTGGGAACTATGTCAGGCAAACCTGCCTCCCATTTTATTCCTACATAAGTTAGCTACAAAGATGAAAAGCTACATACTTCCCTCATGATTTGCCCACAAGGAAATTCTTCGTGGATGGAGGACAGACAGAACACAAAGGCATCCCTCTGAGGCTCACCTGAGACAAATGCATATCTGATTGCTTCCCCTGCCCTACTGACTATGTAAAACTGCAGATTCACTGACCCACACTAAATTGAGTATTCAGTGGAAGGCTGATCAAGGACTCAAAAGAATACAGAATTTTGTCTCTTATCTACTTCTGACCTGGAACCCCCCCCACCCACCTCCCTGCATACCCCCTTTTCCCCTCAAACCCGTTTCCCCATCCCCCTCCCCCTTCAACTTGTCCTGCCTTACTGAACCCAACCAATGTACATCTTACATATATTGATTGATGTCTCAAGTCTCCCTAAAATGTAAGCAAGCTGTACCCCAACTACCTTGGGCACAGGTCAGCAGGACCTCCTGAGGGTGTGTCATGCGTGCATCCTTAACCTAGACAAAATAAACTTTTTTTTTTTTTGAGACAGAGTTTCACTCTTGTTACCCAGGCTGGAGTGCAATGGCGCAATCTCGGCTCACCGCAACCTCCGCCTCCTGGGTTCAGGCAATTCTCCTGCCTCAACTTCCTGAGTAGCTGGGATTACAGACACGCGCCACCATGCCCAGCTAATGTTTTGTATTTTTAGTTAGAGACGGGGTTTCACCATGTTGACCAGGATGGTCTCGATCTCTTGACCTCGTGATCCACCCGCCTCGGCCTCCCAAAGTGCTGGGATTACAGGCGTGAGCCACCGCGCCCGGCCAAAATAAACTTTCTACATTGATTGAGAGCTGTCTCAGGTACTCTTTGTGTTACAGTATGGAGGGCAAAGGATAGATGCAGAGAAAGTTAAAAGGTTTACAAAGGTGTACAGTCATGGGCTGTTTAATGATGGGAATACATGCTGAGAAATGCATCGGTAGGTGAATCCTTCATTGTGGGAGCATCACAGAGAGCACTTACATAAACCCTGGTGGTAGAGCCTCCTGACACTCAGGCTTGATGGATGGTACAGCCTATTGCTCCTAAGCTACAAAACCTGTTGCACTGAATACTGTCGGGAGCTGTAACACCATGGTGAATATTTGTGGCTCTAAACATATGTAAACATAGAAAAGGAACACGAAATACAGTATTATAATCTTGTAGGCCCACCGTGGTATACGCAGTCTGTAGACAATGGAAATGTCCTTCTGTGGCACGTGACCATAACTGTATTGACTAGCACTGGCCTGCGCAGGGGCCAGCAAATGACGGCTCTTGAGCCAGAGCCAGCCTGCACCTGTGTTTGTGAATAAACGTGTGCTGCAACACGCCCACATCTATTTGTATAGGGACCATCAGTGGCTGCTTTTTCACTTCAGGGTAGAACTGAGTAGTTGTTGCCGAGACAGTATGGCTCACAAAGCCCAGAATAGAGACTATGCGGCCCTTCCTAGTTTGCCAATCCCTGCTCTGCAGTACACTCCTATTTGTACTAAAAACAAACTAAAATGGAGGGGGGAGCCAGGGAGCAGAATTCTGGGGGTGGAGGGAAGGGATACTTTTCCATGCACACCCTTTTTAGTACTTTTAACTTTTTCTTTTTTTTTTTTTTTTTTTGAGACAGAGTTTGGGTGTTGTTACCCAGGCTGGAGTGCAATGGCGCGATCTCG